GTGTCGGTGTGTGATGGCGGCGCTCCGTGGCGTATGCACAACGTCGCATGCGACTCCTTTTCTCTTTCGTTTTTTTTTGTACTTTACCTTTGCAGTTTCTTCAAAGGTGAACAACGGGGAACAAGCACACAGAGTCTGCGTAGCATTGGGCAATGCTTAAGTGTTTCTCGCGCTCTGTGGCGGCATTGAGCCCGAAACGCACTGCAGCGCGGGAGAAGCGACTTAAAGATCGCGTCGCAGCGCAGTTGGAGTTGGAGGCACAGGTGAAGGCGCGCGTCGCCTGCTATCCGCACAGGTCCCTCACACGTCCACCTCTGCGGCTGGAGAGGAAACAGGTGAACACGCCGTTGTTCCAATCGCAGCTGCTCACCCTAAACAAGATGGCCACCGACCTNGGCTGGAGAGGAAACAGGTGAACACGCCGTTGTTCCAATCGCAGCTGCTCACCCTAAACAAGATGGCCACCGACCTGCACTGTATTTCGTTCAGCGCACCGAAGGGGCACTGGGACGCCGCGGTGGTACTCGTTAAGAGTCACCCCGATGAGTCAGACTTTGAGGTGTGGGTCAACCCCATCGTGCCGGGCTACGACGACCGCAACTCCATCGCCCCCATGTACGGCATGTGGGAAAACTGTATTTCGTGCGGTGCCTGCACCGCGTGGGTGCTGCGCCCACAGTCCATCACGTGTTGCGGGTGGGACCAATATGGAAACGAGAAAACGGAGGTGCTTGACGGCATGCGGGCACGGTGCCTTATGCATGAGCTCGATCATCTCAGCGGCAAAACAATTCTGCATCAGGCGTTGGGGCCGGAGTTTATCGTGAGTGGCATTGCAATGGGGCAGAGGGACTTGTGGCCGCCAAATTTTCCATCAGCAGAGGCCTACGTTACTGGTCCCCACCAGTTCTTTGATTACGTTAAAAATGTCCCTGTTGTGCCGCCGGGAATGGAGTGGTGGTACGCACAGAACATGCAACAGCAGTTTGATGATGCTCGTCTGAACCAGTAACGCCTATCCCTCTTTATTGATTGATGTTGGTGCTTTGGTGGTGGTGGTGGTGGCGGTAGTGGTGGGGTGATGCGTAGCGAAGCCGGCGTGTTGGTTGGTGTGTACGGGTGTGGGTGTATGTTTTGAGTTTCTTTCGAGCTTCAACGAGATTTCTGCGTTGGGCTTATCCTGTTTGCTTACTTTCCCCCCAAACTATCGTTGGGCTAATTTCTTTTTTCCCCCTCTTTTGTTTTTTTTTTTGTTTGTGTTGAAAACATAACTGTTACGTGCCGGTGCAGACAGCAGATGAATGCGGACTCACCGTCGGGCGCCTGCGGACCGCGTGTGACTGGGAGTCGGCGCGGCTGCGGGGATGGTCCTGGCAGCGGCGCCGTGGCAAGCCGTGTGGTACCGCCTTCGCGTCTACAAGGATGGGAGGACCGGAAAGGCACTGCTCAAGTGGATTGTGCGTTTCAATCTCTGCGTGGAGAAGTCCGAGGTGACTGCCATCGCATTATGTGACGCGGTGCTTCACCTCGGGCTCCTCTAACCAGTCGAACCGTTGCGGTACCACGCGAACGTTTCCGTCCCACCATGGCTCAAGTGTTAGTCCTATCGGATTCGAGCTCCACTGCTAGCACAAAGTCCTCAACAGAGCAACCTTCGGATTACCATGAGGCAACGAAACCTGAGTGTGTGACAGACGCAGCGGGGCGGTTGGGGGTAACACGAGGGGAGAGGCTTCGTGTGGCGGTGCGCTGTGGCACTCTGTTTGTTATCATTTGGCGATACCAGGGAGCGACTACTTGTAAGAAATGGGTTGGACCATCGGCTGCAGAGGTCTGTTTTTGTTTTTGTGTGTGTTTGTATCATGCTCGAAGAGTGACGGTGAGGCCATAGCTGATGCCATGCTGCGCAAGAAGAGAAAAAATTACCAACTCAACCGTACAAACGAAGGCAACGTCGTTTCACGCGGCATCGTCACAGTAACATGTACTGGAGGATGCCACGCCCACTCTGAGGAACCTCAAGAACAAGATTAGTAGCAGGAGCAGTAGCCTGAACGGTCGCAGCAACACTTGTGAAGCTGGTAGTGGCAGCGATGGCAGATATGAATCTACAGAGTTGGATTTGTCATCGCATGAGACTGTTGTGAGTCAAACAGAGAGGACCCTCTTCATGGGTTGGGAACGACATTGTGATGAGTTGTGCACCGTCCTCGGTTACGCTCCTTGGCACCGCGTGTGGTGTCACTACGATGTCTACAACGATGGGATGAGTGGAAATAAACTCGCCGTGTGGATACGCACCCAGGCTCTCTTGTTGGATGCGACGATGGAAGGTGTTTTGGCTGTGGCTGAAGAACTTCTCAAATGTGGCTTTTTTTTATCAGCCTGAGCCGGCGCACAGCAGTGAGAAGACTTTGTGCGACCAAAGCGCAGCAGTACGTGCTAACCATCCCCTGGGCGCAAGACATCGTTGTATTGAAAACAGTGGAGAGAGCGCCACGCTTTGCTTCGTGTGGTTTAACGAAGTGGAGAAGGCAGGTGGGAAGAAAGGCTTCTTCCACGCCGTGCTAATGGCCCTCGGCGGGCTGTGCGTGCGTTCCCTTGACAAACTCAAGGAGCGTGGCGCCGTCCCCTCTGTGAAGGGAGTGCCGCTGTCAACGGCCGCATCGACGGGTGGTGCTACGGCACATCCGCCGGCGAGGCAGCGGTACCACAGCCGCATGTGGCGTCGCGCCGCGTGGGTGCAGCCGGTGTTGAAGCCGCCGGAGGAGGAGGTCGTGGGGGCAACAGAGAACGTCGACGCGGCGGCGGAAGAAGCGGGAGCAGTGCTTCTGGTATGCTACAATCTGGAGGTGAAGCGGCTGATGCCGCAACGTGCCGCGCAGGGTCACGCAATCCGTGCCCCGTGATGTGGAACAGTAAAGGTTTTCATCACGCAGACCGAATAATCTGTACACTATCTTCGGTTGTGTGTGAGTATTGGTGAGGAAATCTGCTCGGAAAACAGTGATGCGAGCGGTTTCGTTACCGGTAGTGACAGGTGCTCAAGCAGAATTCACCAGCGTGTCGAGGTCCCGCTCCCAGCATTCGCCATGAATGGCGATTACATTGGATGCGTAAGCTTCAACGACGAGGAGCCTGTGCAGGCGTTACTCTACACTCTGGTCAGCCCTATCACACGAGTGAGGAAAGCAATTGGTCACACTGAGTTCTACGTTGGCTGTGGCGTTGGTTTTGGCAAAGTGGTGATAACAGTACGGCGGGGGATTAAGATGTTGTGGTGAACTCTATTTTCAATAAGCTTGAAAAGGGGTGGGGTGGCCTCGTTTCTACTGAGCGACGCTAAAACAAGAGTGAACTGCACCAGCGACGCGGATAGTGATGAACGGTTAGGGCGTGGCTGTTGTGGAGGTCGTGAGCTCGGCTATGGTCCGTCTGGTATGGCAGTTCACAGAAGTAACACCACATGCAGACGAGCAACGAGGGGAGTTGCCTGCCGTGGAGGTGCCAAGGCTCCCTTGAGCTCTCACAATGCTTGAATATGTGTCACTTGTGCATGCCGATCCTTTGGTGGAACGGATCGCCGCCATGTAGAACGTCGAGCAGGCCTGCGAACCGGTATGCGCGACGCCAGGCGTGGTTTCCTGCTCCTGCTGAATGCCCTTCCCCCCTTACGCGCTCACGTTCTCCGTCATACGAACTGAGTTTTCAGGTTCATTATCACGGCATACATTAACCCCTTGGTGCGCGTTCCTCCGTTTGTGTCCGGAGTGTAAACGAAACCTCTGGGTGTTGCTTGTTTAAGTGGAGTTTCACTGTGACGACAACAGTGCACGAAGCCAGTGACAATAACGGTTTTCTGTTGCTGGACCAGAATAAGTCTGGTCGCCTGGGCGAAGAGTCAAGGGTGGAGCGGGTTCGTGCTGGTACCATGCAACTTTCGCAGCAGGCAGATGAGCTTCAGAACAGTGCTGGTGCAAGACATTTGCGTGTGTTTTCTTCGCTTCCCGCTGACAACACTGCTGAATGTAGCACTCACGGATCGCTTACTGTATTTTATCAGTGGTTTCTCTTGTGCTCTCGGCAGTGACAGAGAACACGCATGTCCAACGACAAGCAGATAATTAGTCTGCGTGATTTTTATTTTAGCTGTTGTTATTGTTGTTGTTCCGTTCCTCCCCTATGCTTTATACTCTGTGTGTGTGTGTGTGTGTGTGTGTGTGTGTGTCTCTTATGGTTTTTTTTGGTTGAATGCACGTGGTTAGGTATCTACAACCCTCTTTCAGATTTGACTCCATTGCGTCTGATTGCTTATCGCTTGTGCGCTCCTTTACGTTGCTCTTATATATATATATATATATATTCTATGTATGTGATTTATCCAAATGAATACATAGAGACGTGCAGGTGGTGGGAACGAACAAGTCGCAGCCCACTGGGTGCTGTTTTCAATGGTGGAACCTCTGGCCACTGCAACGAAGTTCAGTACGATTGGTGTAGCGACAACCCTGGGGTGGGAAAATGACGAATGCGCTAAAGAATACATGCAGCAGCTTTTAGTGCGGGGACATGTCATTCTTTCCGCGCACAATTGGAAGATCAAGCACTTGAAGGAGTTCTACCCACGTAGCGCGCGGTTACTCGGGTTGAACGTGAATAAAGGTGACGAGGTATGTGTGCGATTTCGTAGTCCAGGCGCAAAGAAGACGTTCCTCCCATTCCACGAGGTTTTATGCACCCTCTTGCATGAGATTGCACACTGCCGGTATTCCAGACACGACAGGTACTTTTGGGAACTGTATGCTCAGCTGGTTATTGAGTGTGAGCGACTGGAGGTGCGTATGGCGTCCGAGAAGCGAGAGGATGCAGTGGGTGCGCAACTCCGCTTCAGTGAAGGGCGTCGCTTGGGTGGGAACACCATTGCACTTCCCCCCAGCAACTCCGATTCGCTGCGCCAAATACTCGCAGATGCGGCGCAGCGGCGACTTCAGTTGAGTCGACGTGGGGAACGTGATGGTTGTGCGTGCGACAGTGAAAAGTTGGATGGCTCTGTCGATGGTGCCCGATGGATCTGCGAAAGGTGTGGCAACACCAATGCATCGGCGGTTTCAGCGTGCGATTTCTGTTCTGACATTTCGGGACAAAACGGGGAATTGGAAGAGGGATGGGACTGTCGGCGCTGTGCATTTCACAATTACCGCCATCTCGAGCTTTGCGAGGCGTGTGGCTTTCCCTGCGTGGCTCCGGCTGCTGGCCAGTCAACGTTCGGCGTGAGGCATGTCAGTGTGCTTACTGTGTGGCCTGATTATTTGTCTGCTTGTAATCTCTTGGGCCGTTTAGCCGATTCACTTGATCCCCTTCTGCAGGAGCGGCGGTGGCATTTGTTATGCCTTGAAGAGTTCTCTCCGCAGACACCGTCGGTTGTTTCACAAGGTGAGTTCCCTAACGCGGCGCGTGCCATAGTGAAGGTTCGTCTTCGTTTGCCGAATCAGCCATCGGAGTTGTTGCCGCTGGCGTATGTCTACAGTGCTGTTCTTCACCAACTGGCTCATATGGTGGAGCGCAGCCACGACGTGGCGTTCCTCAAGGAGTGGGCCTCACTCCTGCAGTGCTTTCTTAAGGCTTCGGCTACACGCATCGACCTTGGAATGACATGTGAGATTAGAGAAAGTATGCTCGGTTTCACTAAACAGTTAGAGTGTCTTACTAAGGCCCACGAAAGTGGTAAAAGGGCTCCGCTGAACATGTTGTTGGCACACCCTGTGTTCGCGGATTGCGGAAGTGCGGTTAAACGTGAGAGATCCCCCAACAGCTGCGATGCAGAACGGCAGCCGCAGTCGACTAGTCGAGCAGGGCGCCGCCCCAGGAGTTGGGCATGCACAAGGTGTAGCTTTCTCGATCATGTTGACGGGTTCCTCTTCTGTGAAATGTGTGGCGCACCTCGAGAACTGTGCGCGCCGACTGGTGGTGAGAAACCTCGTATGCCTTCATGCGAAGAGCCTGTTATAATTCTCGATGACGACTGCGGAGAGGAGCAAAGCTCTAATGACAGCGAGAGCATGGTGGTTGTGTTGGTGTGACGCTGCGTTGTGTACAAACTGTTTCCCACTGTGATTTTGTCGAGGTGCTGTGACCACGCTTTAACCAGTCAATCCGTCTTTTCTTCTTTGGCGGCGACCTGCCGAGATGTATCGAGGAGCTGTCCGTTATGAAATCCCTACTTCTCCCTTGCTTATGTCTGCATTTTTTTTTCTGATTTTTTTTTTCTTTTTGCCCCTCGACTCAATACATTAAGGGACAAATATATATATATATATATATATATCCCGCTGCTTGTTATTCTTCGAAGCACAACTGGGAGCGCGCATGGAGGTTGACAGCGCGTATGCAAATCTCTTCGGCACGCAAGGAGAGGCGGCTGTGCTCGCCTGCGACGAGCTCGGTCTTGTTCCGCGCGACTTGCTGCGTCGCTCGAAGAAGTCCTTTGGGGGTGATGGGGATCCTGAAGGCAAAGTGCTTGTGCGCTACACACTGACGGAGCGCATCCGGCAAAACAACATACGAAAACTGCTTGCTGTCAAGAACCGCTTCATCGTGGAGGGCGGCGTGGCGGAGAAGTGGAAAGAGCGGTGCCGGGTGTTCCCCGACGCACCAGGCGTGCCCAAGATACCGAAGGCAGCCATGGAGGCTGCCATGGCGGAGCTCGACACGGAGAGCGACGACGATGATACAATCGATGAGCGCGGGCTCGTCAGGCCGCCGCCGCAGTTCGGTGTGGCAACGCCCAACGGTGGGGCGGAATCGGGTGTGCCGCTCTCACGCCGGCCGAGCCAATCAGGCCCCGTTACGGTGGCCTCCAGCCACAGCACCGCGCCACCGACACCGGCACCGCTCTTCGTCTCGCCGCCAAGGAGCCAAACGAAGAAGAAGCGCCACAAGCGCCTCTCCAAAAGAAGTGCGAGGGAAAGTGCGCACAACGCCAGCGATAAGGAAGAATACGTCATTTGCCGCGATGGGGACCAGGATGTTGTAATGCGTCGCCCACATCCCCCGGCGGACCCGCCGTATTTGCCTCCGGTGCCGTACCCTGTGCGCAACACCGCCACACTGACGCGGGAGATGGAGGAGCTGGACGAATACCGCCGTTTTCTGTTGCGGTATGCGCATGACAGCGCGGCCATGGCGCAGGAATATAGCGACTTTGAGCAGTTGATGCGACACCGCAATGCAGCGAACGGCGCCGCGGCGGCGGGAACGGTGTCATTCGTTAGTGAGGCTCAGCAGCGCAAAGGTGCGGACACTTCGGCTGCGAGTTCTGTGAAGAACAGAGACAGCGAAAAGAACACCAACACTACACCGTCGAAGAGTGGCACGACCCGCCATGAGCGACAGATAGCTGCGTACATACGTCTTGCCAAAATGGATGTGCAGAGGAACTCGTCCAACTACAAGAAGTGGAATGGATTCATGGAGGAAATGGAAGGCATCGAGCCGATGGGTACGGTAGCAGCGGATCTGCGTGCTCGGCTTAATATTGGCCTTTGGCCGACCTTCGAGGACTACGTGCGTTCAGTGGAGGAGCGGACAAAGCGTCGGGAGCGTGCCTTCTTGCAAGAGCGGCAGTCGCAGAATAAACTTAGCGCCTTCTGTGAGGCGAAAGACCGTCACACAGAGCAAACGATTGAAAAGCTGAAGAATGAGGAGAATGGTATCTTTCTGGAGGCAAGGATCGTGCAACGGGAGATTATGAAGCAAAACAGAGTGCACGAAGACAGGCGATACAACATGAAGCAGCAGCGGTCGCAGGTATGTCAGGCGAAAAAGGAGACTCGTGCCGCTGAGTATCACGCGAAAAAAAACCTTGCCGCGAAGAATAAGCGCTTCGAACACGACTCTGAAGAAGTATTTAGACAGTCTCTGAGGGAGAAGATTCATGAGATGGACGTGAGGAAGAAGTGGGATGTGAATTCAGTCGCGAACCGATGAAGGAATGACAGATGGTTTTTCTTTCTGGGTATGTAAAGAGGAGACACAGTGTTATCAATGAATGCAAATGGAAAAAAAATGTGTTTTTTTTCTGTTTGTTTGTCTTGATGATCTGGAGGAACATTCAATGCTTTTCCCATTGCATGTGGATGTCTGCGCCATTCCGCTGGCATTTTCGTGGTTTTGCTGTGTGGCAGGCACGTGATGCATATGTGGAAAGCTCTCTCGTTTTCCTCATTGTTCTTCTTTCTTTTTTTGCGTCTTAGTTGGCGTCGCAGGGTCTTCCTGTTCGTGCTGACATCCATCGTGGTTGTTGGTGGAAGGACAGCGCGCAGGGGGGACGGAAGGTGGTGGCGTCTCTGCTACCTCTTGGTGGGGGCAAGCCGCGGGGGACAGCATGCCCCAGCAGCAGAGCGTTGAGTCCTTCAAGCGCATCTCATTCATGGCCGATGGTCAGGCCCGCATCACGGAGGGCTCGTCGCGGCGCTTACTTCCGGTACGATCGAGTGAACCCTTCAGCGACGATGCGGGCCTGCCGATGCCGGCCGCGCTCTTTAGCTACTCACGCATCATTGTCAGTAAGAGCAGGGACGCAGCAGCAGCAGCAGCAGAAGCAGAAGCAGGCCACGCACCGCAGATGAGGACTGTGGCAAGGCACGTGCCATCTTTCTGTCCACCGGAACGCAATCACTGCGGTGCAGCGGTATCACATAACGCAACTCTGGTCTTGTCCACCATGAAGCCGGTATGCTCTAGAATGAGCTTCTCTGTGCTGCTGCACGTGTACGATCTTAGCAACGGACTTCTTCACCGACACAGCGAAGAGCTGCTTGGGATCTATGCATCTGGCGTCTGCCACAGCAGTGTGGTGTGCTACGGCATGGAATTCTTCTTCGAAGGTGGCATTGACGTGGCATGTGCTGGTTGCACCCGCTTCGGGAAAAACTTCGACAAGGTAGATCTTGGCACAACAACCAAAACCTTGAGTGAGTTTATGGCTTGGATTCACCAACACAGGGAGGAGTATCAGCTGAATCTGTATCATCCAACACAACATAATTGTCATCACTTCACCAGAGAAGCATCTACCTTCTTGATTGGCAAAGAAGGTGCTCATCCGTCACACCTCAATGACACTGTGAAAACTCTCATCAGTACGAAAATTGGTGCGGGTGTGGATGAACTTCTGTTTCGCTTCATTCGCGGAGTGCAGTGGGTGATTGCCAAGACACAGCGCGATCGGATGTTGGAGCGACAAAGAAGTGCGATGACCATTGCGCGCTGTGCCAGGGCTTATGGTGTGGATGCTCAGCCTCCCCGCTCTGTTGTGCTCTTCCGTGTCGATAGCGCCCTCAAAAGTCGTCAGGCACTCGAGGCGCTGATGCCGTACGTTGAGCAGTTGAAGCAGCGTGGCGTGCTTGATAAGCCTTGGAGAGGAGCGATGCAATTCTTCGCCACACTTTCTGAGGGAGGGGAAGTAATTGATCCTAAGCTTGCATTGGAATACGTAGAGACAGTAGCTTGTGTTTTAATGCACACGCACGTGACGCTTTGGGGGCCCATCCTCAATGGCCTGCGCGTCGCCATACTGCACAAGACGGTGTTGTGCAACTGCGTATTCCACCCACGGCTTATTGGTATACTGGGCGGTGGGGTGCGGGACTTTTTGAGCATGACGGCTGACGGAAAACTCGCGTTGCTTCGGGTTTTGTGTAACTTGTCTTCTGGTGTCCACGGCGCTGTTGTCCTGAACTGTAGGGCCTTCTCCGAACTGTGGGTGAGTGCTGTTGGCCTGGCGCTCATGGATCACCGCAACACCGCTATTGTATACACAGGGGCCGCGCTTGCTGTAAACTTGACGCATTCCTTTATGTTGACCACAAACTCGTTGTTGGCGAGGCTGTATGATGATGTCGCTGTGCGTGGACACCCCGTTCGTGCGTTGCTGACGGTTCTGCTCTTTCATCTGCGGCACTGGCCCCCCGAACGGGTGACGGAGGCCGCGCTGAACATGGTGCTTCTTGCACTGTTCTTTCTTCTTTCCAGCTGTGAGGCCGCCGTGGATGCTGCAGCAGAGCATCCGTTCAGGCTGAATTATATGGACCTGCTCAAGAGGGCGCGAACAAACGAAAGTAAGGCACTTATCTGCCTCTTGCATGGTCTTCAGCATCTCTGATATGCTAGTTGTGTGTGTTTCTTCCCTGGTGTGCGAAGGAAGAGAGCGATGGATGCTTTAAAACGAGTTCCTGGGGTACTCTTCTTGTGCTTCGTGGTTATTTAGACTTATTCCCGGCAGTTTGTTCATTACAATTGACTGTCTTTTTTTCCCCCTCCCTCCTCACATCTCTCTCTCTCTCTCTTTCTCTCTTCTGTGTTATTCATTTCCTTTGTTATATATATATATATATATTGTTGGCGCCGTGGGTTGAGTTGAAGTGGTGTTAAAGTATCGTGAATCCTCTGCAAGCCGAGGGGGGGGGGAAGCGTGTAAGAAAGAAAGGTCTAGAGGTAGCGCGCATAAAAGGCACGTCTGCGTCTGTATTTAGGAAAGGATGCTGCACGCTGCGGTCGCCCCAAGTCTACCAGCATCCGGCGTGACGCACTCCGTCGCCGGCCGCTTCTCCGATGGCCTCCCAAATGGAGTACAGGAGCTGTTCGTTTTCAAGAAAAACAACGTGGAGTTGTGGCGTGTCCCGCCAGCGGTGGAAGCAGGCATGCGGCTCTCTTATGTCACCTCTGTGCAACTGAATGCCCCGCCTGTGGCAGTTGCTGCATGCCGTCCTCTGGGGTTTGCTGTTGACGTCATCGCGATGTGCTTTGATGACTTTCATGTCTCATTTGTCATGTACGATCCGCTTCTTATGCGTCTGCATACGTTGGCATTGGTTCAACTTAACGACCGCGAGGTGGCACATGAAGTGACGCCGCTGGAGCCTTTGATGCGCGCCGATCCGACAGGTCACTTCATTGCGGTGCTGGCACGGCGTCGTCACATGTTTCTGATTCCCCTGTTAGGGGTAAAGCGTCCCGGGGGAGATGAGGATGATGATGGCGACAACAACAACAGCAATGGTGCAGCACTCATGACAGGGCAGCAGCTCAAGAACAACACGGACATGGCGGCAACTACAGATGACTGGGGGGATGAGGATGAATACGAGGAAAAGGCTCCAAACGATAAGAATGAGGCGCAGGCCGAAGAACAGATAGGCATAGATGCGCAATCACAGCCGCACGATTCAAAGATTATTGATGTGTCTAAGGAGCTGTTGCGCATCGGTACCATATCTATGTTCACACTTGCAACAGCGGTAAAAGGCTCAATTCGGTATGTGCGGGATATACAGTTCATTGACTCCACTGGGGAACCCATTGTGGCCGTTTTGTGTGAACGGCAGCCAACGTGGGCTGGCCGCGTGAAACTAGTGGAATGGCGCACCAAAACGGTGGAATCGGACATACTTTCCTCGCAGGTTGTGTGGGTGCAAATATCCTCCGCATCCACGTCCACACCGAAGCTGTTGCTGATCGGCGAGGTGGACGATATCCCGTATAACGTGACACACATGACACCTGTTGGGTCGTTTGCACAGACACCCTCAGGTGTCCTCTGCTACGGCATCAACACTGTTATACACGTCACGACAAAGCGGGGCTACGGAGTCTACTTCAACAACAACGGTATGGAGGAGTCTGCAAATTCCAAGTCCTCTGCGATGTCTTTTAAAAAGGCAAGCTGGTGTGACCCAGAGCTAGAGGCGTCGACGGAATTATTCAGGGTGAACCTCTGCCTCGCAAACTGTGCGGCTGCAACCATGAGTGCCGGAAAGGAATCACTGCAGGTACTCGCTGTCTCGGAAGCGGACGGTGTGGTGGTGACGCTGCACTTTGCGGCGCAGGGGTCTACCGTGCAGGACATTAAACTCAGTATCCTTGGCACCGGCTGCTACTGTTCCAGCATCGCTCCTATCAACGGTCGCGCTGCGTTTCTGGGATCCGCGAGTGGCGACTCCTGTGTTGCCGCCGTTGACCCACTTCACAACGATGCAACAATGCGTTTCCGAATTCTAGAAAGTATGGAGGCGATTGGCTGCATCATGGATATTGACGCCGTTGACTGCAGAGGTGTGGCCGATGGTGAAGTGGGCCAATCAAACACCCCAAAGGATTCATGGCTTGATGGTATGCCGTATGCGGAGCTGCTGCGAAGCACCGTACTTGAGCCGATACCGAGGGTTCCTATCACGGAGTGTCGAGCGGCGATGGACTTGGCTGTGTGCGCCGGTCGTGGCGGCTCTGGTTCTCTCTTCGTTCTGCGGCAATCTGTGCGCGGCAATGTGGTTCATCGCGAAAGTGTGAATGCGGTATCAGCCTTCTTTTTGGATGCGCTAGAGAATTCGAAGCGACCTCGCATAGAGGATGAGAAGGATGATGGGGCTCCGCGTGTGTCGTTGCGTGCGCCACCGCACCTTCTGCTCACTGGCCTTTCATTCACTATTCTCTTCACTGTGCGTGGGGGGTCTGTGCAACATGTGCGCCGTTCAGAGTTTCTTGCATCGTGTCGAACGGTGTTCGCGGCAGATATTCCATGGTTGAACGCCTTGCTACAAGTGACTGAGCGAGAGGGGCGCATAATATCATCTGATGGGAGGTCGCTTCTCCTCAGGTTTCATTTTGTTCCAGAGAGGGAAGTCGATAGGCACCGGATTGTTAAATCGGCATGTATTTCGGCGGAATCCCAACTGTTGTTTGTCCTCATGGAAGACGGGACACTGTTGCAGTTTAAGCTTAACTCGGCGCAAATAGCCCCTCAAAAGGAGGTTCTTGCGGAGAGTGTGGCGGCCTTCGCTTTGTGGCGAGATCAGCGGCGAGTTGTGGCCTTCTCTAGAGATGGTACTATGACAATCACTGATATCGAGACCCGTTCTGTGTTCGCTGTGTTTCCCCGCTTGGGTATGCTGCCGCCCCATTCTGTGATTAGTACTGCGGAGGCGTCGGGTGAGGGGCTCCCTCATTCTTCATCTCATGACACCGTGGATGCAGTTTCTGTCGTGGAGCACTTGGAGGTTGTGACGATGCCGGAAGATTCTGCAGCGCCGGCATCGGCAGCAACGTCGCTCCTCATCGTCCTCGCCACAGGTGAACTGGCGGTGTATCAGCTCCTCGGCCCTGATGCTTTTGGACCACTCCGTCTTGTCAAGTCGCTGCATCACTTCCTCGATAACAAGGCGGAACGTGAGGTTATCGAATCCATTGAGGCCAAAAGGCAACGTATGCAGCGGGAGCGCATCATTGAGAATGACACACAGCTGATGCGGCACTGCAGCCGCCGTATCGTCTCATTCAACGTCATTAGTGGGCATGCCGGGGCGTATGTGTGCGGCCAGCACCCACTTTTCCTCTTCTGGGACCGCCGGCAGCGGCAACTCGTGGGGTATCGCCACCAAGCCCCAGGCGCGGTGCGTGGTTTTGTGCCGTTTCCTTCTATAGGCAACGGTTTCCTGTATTGTTGCGAAGGATTTGTCGATTTCGCCTCCATGAACGAGTACTGCCGACCCAGTGGTCACGGGTGGTTGTCGCGCCGCATCCACCTGGGTGTCACACCACATTTTGTTGTGTATCACCCTCCTGCACATAGCTGTTTTGTCGTCACGTCGAGAAAGGAGCCATTCCGCCCACAGAGAGCTTCTTTTGACCTTCAACTGAAGATTAACTACGATGAGGAATTTGGAAACATTCAGAGTGTTACGACGGTTGCACCGGTTTGTAATATGCCGCCCATCAAATCAGATGCCGGTATGCCCGTGCCAATGAATGATAGGTTTGAAATTCGCTTCATGTCGACTGCAGATTGGAGGTGTACTGATACCTTTCCACTGGAAGAGAACGAGCAGGTGCTGGCCGCGCAATTGATGGAGATCCATTACAATAAGGATAAGGATGCGGACGGTCCGCAGACAGCGCCCGTCTGTGTCGTGAGCACCGCATTTCCATTGGGGGAGGACGTCACTTGTAGAGGCCGCATTCTTCTGCTCGCGTCGAAGTGGGTGAAGGGGGTGCGGAAGATACTTACTCTTCACTCAGAACCTCTCAACGGCCCTGCCACAGCAGTTACTGGCATTCGCAATCACATTGCCGTTGCTGTGGGTGGGACAATCAAGCTGTTCCGCTATGACTGGGAGTCGAGGAAGCTGGTAGTGGGTGCCCTGTTGTACGCTGGCATCTACGTGACGCGCATGTCGGCATTCCGTAACTACCTTATCTACGGGGACCTTCACCGCTCCTGCGCGCTGGCTCGGTTTAACGAAGAAAACCACACCCTAATGGTTCTTGGAAAGGATCGCAATGCGGTTTCTATTGTTCACTGTGACATGATGTACCATGACCGAGCGTTTGGTATACTCTCCTCTGACGACCAGCGAAATCTGTTGTTGATGGGCTACACACCACGCCTTCAGGAGATGGAGGTGGGGAAACCGAACAAGGTGCTCGAGTCTGTGCTCTCACTTGATGGCGAGTACCGCCTCCCCAGTGGCTGCATGGTTAAGTCCCTTCGGTTCCGCTCCCTTGCAGGCAACTCCAGCGTGGCGATTTACGTAACTAATTACGGAGAAATAGGCTTTGTTGTGCCGATTGGCGAGCAGGCGAATCGCACGGCGCTGTGGATGTCGCGTCGTCTGCAGATGGAGCTTCAACACGAGGCGGGATTGGTTCCACGCATGTTTCTCGGTCTAAGCCAAGAATCGCCGCGAACGGCGCTGCGGGCGAAGGAGATGCTCGTATCTGCCCCGTTGTTGAAGCAATTTTTCTTCCTTGATGTCTGCACGCGAAAGGCCATTGCAAGTGCTGCTTACACGCACTTGGACCGCGTCACAAACGTCGCTGCGCTCATTTACGAGGAATGCAGTTTGTTCTAGGCATTTTTGACAACTCAACCGTAACTCTTTAAAATCCATTTGGAAGAAGAAAGAAGATGAAGTCTGTGTGGTTGTCTCTGTATGGGGGAGGTGGGGCGCTAAAAAAGATCTTGGACTTGTCACGTTGATTTTTTTTAAATAATATCTCCTCTTTTTGGTCGTCTCTTTCTTGGCTTTCTCCTTTGTTGTTGTTGTTGTTGTTTTTCGTTGGGCGGCGTGTAGTCCTTCTACAGAGGAACAGTGTAGATACGGCACCGCTGTGAGGAGATGCGTCATTCGCGCCGGATGCTTGGGACACTGCCGCCCAGATGCGCACCCGTATTCAGGCCGCACATCCATCAGAACCCTTGTGTTATATGCGAGGCAACAGCATCAGCAGAAGCGGAGACGCGGGAAATGGGCGACGCTTGTTGTGGTAGAAGGCCCACGAATGTTGCATTTTCCGCTTCGAGGAAGACCGTTGACCATACTGTGAAAGCGGGGCAGAGCAGCGCCCGAGACACTGTTGTGGAGCAACGAAGGCAGGCATTGCAGCAGTGGATGAAGAAGGAGGGGAAGTGGGGTTTAACGGAAGAGGAGGGGACGGAGGAAGAGACGTACCTGAGGGAGTGTTGGGAAGCATTGAACGATCCTGCACGAGTAATAACGGATGACGACTTGGTGGGTGCAATTAATTACCTTGACAGCCAATGTGAGGTGAAGATCGATGGAATAATGGACGGTGCAACGAGTCCACTGCAGGAGGCGCAGCACCCGCCCAGTGACCGTCTCAACACAGAAGAGGAGTTGGCTGAAAATGCCTTCTTGGTACGTGTAAAGGCTTCTTTGGCTGCGGCGGAAGATATTGAGCGCCAGCTGCGCTTTCAGCGCACACTCCTTGACTTCCGCGAGGTGATGAACTCATTTGGCTTGTCATTTTTCCTGTGCTGTGGGACAGCTCTTGGGGCACACCGCGAGGGATACTTCATTCCGCACGATAATGACATTGACGTGGGTGTATTCTACGAGGATTTGCAGCGATTGGGTAGTGCTGAGGTGGGTGACATGCAGCTGAATCTTGTGTCGTTGTTGTCTCACATTGCACTCGACAGCCGCTTTGTGCTCTTTGACATCTGTGGGACAGTAGAAAGGGGGCTTGAGTTGCGTCTACTGCACCATGTGACGCGTGTGTCACTCGATTTGAATGTGTACTACCCGCCGCTGGCGGAGGATGCGGCCCTTGTCTCTCAGTATGGTCCGTTTGTGTGGGCGGCGTCGCACTACGAAGACGCTGCGGCACGGCGGCACGGCATGTACCGCTACCGGCACGCACCGTTCCGCGCAACGCTGCAGCGCATGCCGTTCTGCGACACGGCGGCGGCCTCTGGTGCAGAGGGGTTCGCTGTTGTGCCACAGGAGTACCTGTTGGAGTACTTTGGTGCGGACTGGCGTACACCAAGGAAGTATGCGTATGCTGAGGGGCTGCGAAACGGAGACTACAAGAACATCATCGAGGAGTGATTCCAGACCTGTATATGGCCGTGGTTTCCGCGCCATCTCATCATCTCTAATGGTGTGATAGCCCGAACTACGATGAGTGTATTATTTCTTGTTGTTATCGTTTCTCTGCTTCATCGTCGGTTTTCCCCCTTCTTGCATGGGCTCCAAGTTATTTTCATATATATATATATATAGAAAAATAGGAAGTGATTTGAACGTAATGCCAAACTTCAACCCCAATGCAGCGCCCTTTATCCCGACGTTTATGCGCCATTCGGGTGCCACAGGAGTGGCGGCAGCGGCACCGGAGGCGGCAGGAGGTGCAGCAGAAGGCTCTGCTGGTGCTCTGGGCGACGGCAACAAGAGTGCTTTTCTCGCCTCGTCACACGCTCATCCTGTTGTCTTCCTCATGTTTGGCTGCCGTGGCGCAGGGAAGACGACGCAGAGTGAACTCCTTGCAAAGGAATACAACTTGCTGAACATCTCCTCCGGTACAATCTACAGAGAGGGGAAGCAGCCTTTCGTGGAGTTGAGAAGAATCCTACTCGAGGAGTTTAGTGAGGGAAAAGAGAGGCGATACAATGGCGTGGTATTGGATCGCTTTGTCGCCAACAGTGAGTTTGATGCGTTCTATGTGCAATCTGCTCTGAATGCTGTTAAACTACCCATCCCTTTTGTGTTTATGCTTGCTGTGGATCCAGGGCTGGCGGCTAAGCGTGCTGAGTCACGCGGTGACAACAAGTTCGGACACCAACATTGGCGTGCCGTCGAACAAAAGGCACAAGCCGTCACTGCCAATACTATATACGCCCCAATCGGACGCTTAAAGACAATTCGCATTACCGATGACGCCACAATTGAAAATGTCTTTAAGGAGATAAAGTCCACAATTGAAACAGAGTTGCCGGTGGATCCATCAGGTATTGCCCTTCCTTCTGCGGCACGTCGTGAGGTTAAGGGAATGCGATTGATTGGTGATTACGAAACATACATGAAGCTTGCTGCAGATGTGCACGCGGCAGTGGGAAACACTTACGGCCGACGGGACAGCGCTCCGCTATCCAGCATCGGTGCGTATTTGGATAAGGAGTACTTCTCATACGGTCACAAGAACCTGCGCTCCTTACTGTCCACCTTCCATGTGACATTGAAGGCGGATGGAGAACGTTACCTCCTTGTTAAGCACAAGGAGCACGGTTACATTGGATTTCCTGCCGTGTTCACGCACTGCTACGACATGAACGGTCTATTTGAAGGTGTAGAGATGCGATGTGACCTCTCAGCTGAGTCTCAGAAGGCCATTACCAGGAAGAATCTTAACTTGCCTGTTGAATTTCTGCTTGACACAGAGTTGGTAATTCACGATGGGCAGCCAACATTCTACGTCCTTGATTATGTGTACTTTTGGGGACTTGAGGCGAAGAAGATACAGTTTGAATCTCGACTTAAGATACTTCGGGAGTACTTTGGGCGAATGGCTTCGGCTGCACGTGTTGTTCTTCTAAAGGACTATGTTCCTATCAACAAGTTGAGAACACTTATTCCAAAATGGAAAGATGCTCATTTACCCATAGATGGTTTGGTATTTCAGCATAATGACACCTACCGAATCGGTCGCGACAAATTCCTTGTGAAGTGGAAGCCGGTCGAGCAGTGTACGGTGGATTTCCGGTTGGCCAACGGTGTGGCAAAGGGAGACGAATGGACCTTTGAGCTCATGGTTAGTGATGACGCTACAGAGAACAGCGGCTTTGGAGAAATTCTGTACCCCGGCGCCGTTGCCCCGCTTCCGGCAGCAGTGGTAAAGGAAAATCACCTGTGTAATGGGATGATTGTGGAATTGTTCCTTGAAAGAAAGGAAACTGAGGAAGGAGCATCGGCGTCTGCGGCCACGCGGTGGTCCTTCAGAGGTGTTCGAAACGATAAGCCTGCACCGAACAAGTACAGCATCGTGAAGAAGATTGTGGAGCTTAAGCACTTGGACCTGGAGGAACTGACGGACTTGTGCGAGAAGGTACCCTTTTACGGCACGCTTTGACGAAGCTGCGGTTGGCACCCGTACCTCAAGGATTCCGCCTATTTGATTCAGGTCACGGTTCCTGCCATGTACTCAGGTCCCTCGATTATCTTTTATCACTAGCCGTAAAACGAAAAAAAAA